TTGCTTTCCAGCTCCAGGCACCAGGAGGGTGGTACCACGTACTCATCTCTTACATCAAGAAGCTACACACCTCTCTGTCTCTGGGCCCTCACCAAATTAGTCTGCTTTGTGTGCCAACAGGTGTCTGCTGCTCCAAATATCCCAGTTAAAGGAATGAAGTGCTGTAGTGGGATTTGAATGGGCAAACATCTGTTCTTCAGTGTTGTGTACACTGACAACAGACACTACCTGCATTTACAGTTTTGCAGGGCTAGAGTGATCTGTTGTGCTCATTAACCCTGACTGCAGGCACTGCACAGGCCATGGCCAGGCACTGATGTTCTGCATCTCATTTAGCAATCAGCTCCTTTCCTGGCACAGACTTATCATGTGTAATTACTTAATTTGATTGATGTGATCTAAAAAGAGCCTGGCAAGAGTCAGGGATTTGAACATACATCAGTGGAAAAGAAAAGCAAACTTGGTGCCTTTTTCTCCAGCACTCTCCAGTGCAAGAGTCCCTCCTAATTCCCAATGGTCCTGCTTCCCTAGCCTCCTTAGGAAGTAGAAGGGCTTTATAAAATACCTAAAATCTAACAGTAGAGCTTCTTGGATGACATCTGAAAATGTAATGCAGTTTCCTTGAAACTCATACTGGTGCTGTGTTGAAGCTTCTTTGCTTATTCTTTGCTCCTATCCTAACTTGTGCCTCTTGGTCACAAAAGGTTAGAGAAATTCCCTGTGACTGTTACCTTTGGACACTTGTACATATTTTTCATTGGACCTGAGTAGGACTTTATCCAGAAAACCAATATCTGAGGAGGAAGCAGATTTATGATTGTTGACCTTGCTCTGTAATTATTTCATGATCCAAAACACTGCAGCAAGGTATTTAACGTGGCCTTTTTTTGTGCCAGTAATTTTAACAGGTCTTAATGTTTTCTTACACCTGGATGCAAGTACCTGCTAAAAGCTGTGAAAATGCTTAAGTGCACAGGAATGCAATTACTCCAGTAAGTAAGAAGAGCTTCCTGTTTTTAGACACTTCTGAGAGACTAAAGATTTGCAGCACTGTAAAATGTGGGGAGAGCCAGGAGAAAGGACAGATACAAGTGAGGTGAAGCAAGGTATGAAATGCTATTTCACAGTAGAGCACTGTTAGCTTTCCTGCAAGCTACTGATTTCTCTTGTCCCCAGGAAATTAAAATGGACCCAGTGGTAAACACTGGAAGAAAGGAGTGGCTGCTTGGGACTGCAGGTCTGGTTCCCTCATCAGGTCTCATGCTTCATTTAGTCATCCAGAGTGTTGTCCTGAGCTGACCTCCCGCTTGGAGCACTCCTTGGAAAACAGCAGTGTGGGGAGACACCAGCACCTCTGTTCCCTTCCTGTTCCTGGCTCTTGCCCTCGCTCCTCGCTGGTGGAGCCGAAGTACAACCCCTGTGTGTCCCCTCTCTCCGTGAGGTTGGGGTGGGTGGGGGAGTCCTGCCCACAGCCACACACACGTGCACAGTGAGGCAGTTTGAGTGGGCACTGCTAAACCCCAATGCCTGGATTGTCTTAAGAAGTAAAAAAAAATAAAACGAGTTGTTTGAAAGAACTGAGCTCAGGAAGATTTTGGTAAGTCATTGCATATCCTTCAGTGCTGAGTAAGTGTTTTAAGTATGGAATATCTGGAAATGTGCTCCTCACTTTGGGACAGAGCTATTGACAGTAGAGCTTAAAGAATGTAATCACCAAAGGCTTTGTATCACCAAAGGCTGATGCAAGTGGAGCTGAGATGGAAGTGACCTTATTAGTGGATTTACTTTTTTAAACTTCAGATGGCCAGTCTCCCATTGTTTGTGAAAGCCAAGGTTGTGACGTTTGGATCAAAAGTTTCTTTGCTTCTTGAAGCAGACAAAAGATTAACTCTGAAGGGGTTACATCGTTTATGGATCTTACATTGGTATAGGTAGATTTAGTTTACGCATATATTCCCCTGTATATTCTTGTATACCCATACATAGTTTCAGCCTGTACCTTTTCCTGTTAGGGAAATGAATTTGTGCTTGCTGCTCGTCAAAAGCAGCAGAGAGCTGAATCTCGGCTGCTGTTCGTGGGAGACTTCTGCTCCTCAGCTGTGTTGAATAGCAGGAAATCCTGGAGTGCAGCACAACTCCAATATTTGGTTTTTATTCCATATTAGGAAATATTTCCTTATAATTACTGTGGGTGTGTTGGAATGATTTCTGAGATTAATTTCTGTGAGCCAAATTAAAAGACAAGGAGGCCTTGCCCTCTTATTTCCCGCTTTTGGACTGCATTGGAAGGACCAAGCGTGCTCAGCCTAGGGCAGGGTGGCTCTTGTCAATTGCTGCAGGTGAAACCGGCCTCACACAAACTATTTTAAAAAGAATTTATTTCAGCCTGGTAATGGTTCCTCAGTGTGAGTCGTGCAGCTTCTCGTGCTGGCGCAAAGCATGGAGCGGCAGCAGGAGGGAAGCAAACAGATGGTTGGATGGAAAATGGGACGGCTCCTTTCAGAGACAGTCCTGGCTTGTGCCAGCTTACAGCATGCACACAGCCCTGGCCTGGGCTGGGAGGGGTTCCTGCTGTTTGGCAGAGGGATTTTTTGCCTGCTCTAATCAGAGCCCCACACTGCTATTTTGGGATGTTTTGAGGGTTAGGAATTTACCTCAAAGCAGAAAAGTACCTTCCTCCATCTTGAAAATAATCTTTATTGGGTGCATTAAGATCTTCTGGGGTTTAGGGAGCATGTTGGAGCTGGATGCTGACACCCACAAAATGCTCTCTGGGTCTTGCTGTCCCCTGGGTTTCCCTGGGTGTCATCATCATCACCACCACCATCACCACAGTGGCTGCAGGACTCGTGCAGTGTTTGCATCCTGAATCCTGTGTGCCAGAAAACCCTGGCAGTGTTTCCCCAGGGTTTTCTCACAGCCCTGGGGATCAGGCACAGGGAGTGTCCACTCCTTTTGGTTCACGAGTCATGGAGCACTTTCTGCTTTTAGCTGGGACTATAACAGGCGCCTCACCCAGATGCCCCATGGGGGAAGAATGACTGAAAATGGCTAAAACATTTGAACATCTTAGGCTTTTAAATAGCAAAGCCTGTTCCAGTGGGGCTAATTTTACTCAGTTTATTATTGGTACTTTAAATAGAACAAATATGATTAATTCTGGCACATTAAAGTAACAAAACTTATTCAACCATAATGCACATTGGGTAAGGAAAGCTAAAGGAGATGATGTAAATAAAGGTAAATGAAATACTGGTGTCAGTGATGCCATGTTGCGGTATTATTTTGTTTTCCCTTCCAAAAGGGAGACTGTTATAAAAATTGAAGGGTGTCAGAAGGATCTGGTCATGGCAATAACGTTGAAGAAAAATCTGCTCATGAAATATCCCATTTGTTTTATATAGCAGGGAATGTTTCTTCCTTTAGGTAGCAGATTAAATAAAACAGAGGCTTGTGAATGGTGATATTACTGAAAACATGAATTATGGAGGAACGAAATATTTATTTTTCTGTCTGAAACATACCCCAGAGCAGTGCTTGGCAAACATGCTGATCTGATAATTAGGAATCTCAGTAGCAGCAGCTAGCATCATCGTGAGGCTGGAATGGGACTATTAGGTCAAAACCTATTGAGCTGAAGGGTTTTTGAAATGGACATGAGTGCACTTTGGACAACATTCTGTTCTAAGTACAGAAAGCTGTATTTAGAAATAACACAAATATTAATATCACACCCCAGGAGTTGAAAAATACTGGCCCATGATTGGCATAGGTGGGACTAGTGGGGTTTTCTTGTCAGCTTGCTGCTTGGGGACTTCAGGGTCCTGTCAAGTTTTGGGGGTTTCTCGAGGTTAATCAAAAGCTTTGGAATTGTATTTAAAGTGGGTTATAGAAAAAGAACAAAGAACGCCCATGTGCTGGGCTGCACTCAGAGCCCCAGGGTTGCAGGGGAGGGAGATTCTGCCCCTCTGCCCGGCTCTGCTGAGCCCCCCCTGCAGGGCTGCATCCAGCCCTGGGCCCAGCACAAGGAAGGACAGGGAGCTGCTGCAGCCAGGCCAGAGCAGGGACACCAAGGGCATCAGAGGGATGGAGCAGCTCTGCTGGGAGGAAAGGCTGAGGGAACAATTGGGATTGTTCAGCCTGGGGAAGAGAAGGCTTTGGGGTGACCTCACTGCGGCCTTGCAGTGCCTGAAGGGAACCCACAGGAAAGATGGAGAGAGACTCTTGACAAGGGCCTGGAGTGACAGGACAAGAGGGAATGGCTTCACACTGACAGAGAGCAGGTTTAGGTTGGATATCAGGAAGGAATTGTTCCCTGTGAGGGTGCTGAGGCCCTGTCACAGGTTGCCCAGAGAAGCTGTGGCTGCCCCTGGATCCCTGGCATTGTCCAAAGCCAGGTTGGATGGGGCTTGGAGCGAGCTGGGACAGTGGAAGGTGTCCCTGCCCATGGTAGGGGTTTGGAACTAGATGGGCTTTAAGGTCCCTTCCAGCAGGGGCCGTTCTGTGATCCTCCATAGGATCAGTATAAACAGTGTAAACTGTTCAGTATAAACAATTGGATGGTGAAAATATGCACAGCACAGCTGCCAAACCTGTGCGAGCAGAAACTGTAGTGCAGAAAGTAATTTTCCCTCTGGGCTGATGGTACTTTCTCCTTCTGTTTCTGGAACTATCAGCTGTTGTACGGCATTTTTATCTTTGTTCTCTGTTTGCTTATCCCACGAATGGCTGCATGTCTCAGAAACTGCTCAGAGTACGTCCCACCACATCATCCTACTGAGCTTCAGGCTGTTTTTTTTCATTTGTCTGGCCCTGCCCACTGCCCCTTGGTGTGAATCATGCTGTTATTTGTGTATGGTGGGTTGGGTTTTTTCAGTTTTATATATATCCTGTCTCTCTTTAGGAGAATTCAAACAGTTTGGAGACTGCAGGGCTGGTGCTTGTGCTCGAAGCTTTGCCATGTCTTTGCTGCTTTCCTAGATAGCACCTCATTTTTAAAATATAATTCTTGTCATTTTTTGAATATAATCCTTGTCAGTCGTGGGTTTTAGTGCCCAGCTTGGTGAGTTGTTGGGCTGTGTTGTCTGAAAGGTGCCAAGCAGAGTCTGCTCTCACTTCTCACCCAGAAGAGCCCCAGCTCTGGACACAGTGGTGACAGCTGGAATTTCTGAAGGTACCCACTTGATTGTGCTCTGTGTCTGCTTCATCTCTCCTTTCTCTTTTACTTCCTAATTCTTGAAAAATGCCATTTCTGTACTTCATTTCAGGAGCAAGTTCAGTGTCATGCTGAAGCAATGGGAATTTTGAAAGGCAAAAATATGTTTTGGTATCTGCCTTATCCAGAGGCTTTGATTCAAGAGGCAAATTCTTTTGGAACGTCAAATGTAAACTTCATAAACTTGGCAGTTTTTACTGTAATAGCAAACTGCCTTCCTAAGTGCTGGACTTTAGGGGTATGCTTGCGTGGATAAATTAGAATTACTATCAGTCTTTCTGTAAACTGATGTTATTTTGGAGGGAGGATTGCTCTTCCCTGTCCTGCTGAACATGTGTGTAGCTTGACATTGTAAATCCAGGTTGGAGACCCATCCTTCTGTCATGTGGAAGAAAGGTGTTTTTCCCTCTGGCAGAATTGGATGTGGGGTTTGCTTCCTGACTTAAGTACTCACTGAGTCCTGAGTAAATTTATTCTAGGGCTACTGTGTAACTATGTAACATGTGGCTTCAAAAATAAAAATGTTTCCATTGTGTGACTTAGGTTCAGATTAGTTCGGTAGTATAGACCCAGCCTGATTTGACATATCCTGTGGCTGTTCTTACTGACAGAGCTGTGCAGGAGACTTGCCTGTGCAGGAGGCTTGGATTCTATCTTCTTATCCCTTCCTGATTAGAAAGTGATCCCACAAAGTGCTATGTTTCAGGGCAGAGCAGTTCTCCATTTGGTTTGATTTCTTCCATCTCTCCTCTTCAGAGCTGCTGCAGCAGGTGGGATTGGATGCCTCAGTGATCTTGCACTCATTAACAGGAGACTTAATCCAACAGTTTAATAAAAACATTAATGACAGGCTGTGGGAGCTGCCAAGAGGTGCTCCAAAGAGGATGTGGGGTTTGGAGTTACCAGTAGTATAGCAGAATCTGGGTGTGGAGGTTTAGACAGTGGAAACTCCGGGCAAACAGAGTTTGATTTAGAGCTGTTGTGACAAATGGGAATACGGATTGAAGTTGTAGTCAGTGCTGCTTGGCATTTCTCTTCTTCCCAATCAGGAAAGGTCTAGGAAGAAAAGGGTCAAGTGTATGCTACCAGGAGGGAGAGGACCATTCCAGCTGACTGATATTCTATTCAGTGATGGATCAGGAGAGAGTTGCTTGGAGACATCTCTTGAAAACTCCAGTTCAGTAGCATTTGGTTGCTCTGCCCTTTCTGTAGCTGTTCCTGCTCTCCTTCATCCTAGGGAAACATCCCTCCTCTCCTCCCCTCTGTGCTGTTCTCACCTCTGGTGGCAAGACTTTCCCCAGCTGCTGCACATCCATAACTCCTTATCCCCGTGCTGCAGGTGCCGAGCTGGCATCAGGAGAGCTCAGGCTGTGATTTCAGCCATCCCTGCGGGAGGCACAGGCTCATTTCCTGGGCCAGGCAGCACATATGGCATCCCTGCTCCTGCAGCTCCAAGCCCTGGTCCCACGGGCTCAGCAGCTCCTGTCGATTACATCCGTTTGATGTCTTTCTTCCTCACACTTGGGGATGTTCCAGGCCCTTCAGAAAGATCCTTTAGCCAGAACTCCTCCTGTCAGCCGGAGGAGTTCTGGCTAAATGCGGCCAGCTGGTTGAATATGATCTTTTTCATGGTCCAGGGAGCCTAAAGTAATTCCGGTGATGCAGCAGGAGTGGAATGGTTCCATTATGGAAGTGGCATGAATTTGGGTGAACTAGTAGGCTCATCAGTCACTTCCAAGAATTATGGGTGGCACCTTTTCAGAGCATTCCCGTTAATGTGGTGAGGTCAGTACAAGTAGTGTGCTGTCACTAAAAGGTCCTATTTTGGATCTCCTTCCTTCCCACCCCCATCCCTCTGCATCACTTGTTTTTAAAGGTCATGCATAAGGACTGTACTTGGTGACTCCCAGCTGAATATTTTGTCTGGGATGTGGATTTGTGTTGTGTTTGAGGGCTCGTTAGTGGAAGCAGAAACACAGGACGAAAAAGGCTGAAGAAGTTTTCTCAGCTGTGAGTTCACATAGGATTTTGTAGGATATCTGGTGCCTCCTGCCAGGTCTGTGCTCTTTTTCATTTACTTTGGGGACTCTGGAGAGCTTAAGGCATCTCTTGGTTTTACAGATGTTTTCTTTCTGGTGGTTTTGGGTTGGATTTTTTTCCCCATAGTGGCAGAGCTGAGAACACTCATCTGTATTTCCCTCCTGTGAAGCATTTGAGGGTCAGCCCTGCTGTTCATAGTGTGGGGTGCCAGCGCTGGAATTGAGATCTCCTTTCTGCAAGTTTAATAAAACCCAGTGACTTGGATTTGCTGTCTGGCAGTGCCTGCATTTGTGAGTGCAGAGCATGGGGAAAACAAATGAACAGGAAATCAAGTTGCAGTGTTCTTTTATCCTACCAGGAATACAAGACATGCAAAGGAGAAATAGTCATTGTGAGAGTGTGCCCGCCATACCATAAGTAAAGGTTAATCCATTTCAAGCCTGGGTTAATGCTGCTCTATCCTGATGTTCCAAAATTATCAGAAGGCAGGTTTTTACTCTGTTAGGCCATTTCTTAAAATAACTTAATCACAGGTGCCGCTGTGTGGTCAGCAGTTGCTCTGTTTGATTTCCTCTTAACAACTGTTTTGTATTCCCATCTATTGAGGGAAAAAGTGTAAAATTGTACCATAAACAACGAGACCAGTGCTAAGTTCTCCCAGCTTTTGGAGATGTGTCCAGCATGGGAGATGCCTCTGTGTGAAGAATAGAACTGCCTAATTTTTAGTAAACACTACTAGGAATTGACAGATCTTATCTTTCTTTAGTAGAAAACTGAAGGGGATAAAAGATTGATTAAAAAACAGAAATACTGGCATCACTTTGAAAGCAGCTGTAGTGCTATTAATACTTCTTTGTGCCTTTATGGAGAGATACATTTTTATTCTCAGAATTCTGGTGTCTCGTGCACTTCAAAATAAACAGCTAAAATAATATCTACATGATGCTATAAAACGCCTTTATTTGTGACACAGCAGCTGCGTTTCTGGCAACAAATATCCTATTGTCACATCAGATCCCATGGAAAATCCACAGGATAAAATCCCACCCTCTCTGAGTGCAGCAGGCAGAATGAAAACAAAGAGCCTGGAGCAGAGTTCAGCGATCTTCCTGCCCCAGTGTGGACGTGCGAGTTTTCTTCTGTATGAAACCCCTAATCAGTTCACCTTAAAAGCTATTAGGATCTGCTTAAATTAAGCCTAACTCTGGATTTGTCTTCTGCACCATCCCCTGGTAAAATGGAAGGATTAAGTAAATAATAAAAAGGAAGCCCAGTGCCTGAAGGGAACCCACAGGAAAGATGGAGAGAGACTCTTGACAAGGGCCTGGAGTGACAGGACAAGGGGCAATGGCTTCACACTGACAGAGAGCAGGGTTAGATTGGATATGAGGAAGAAATTGTTCCCTCTGAGGGTGCTGAGGCCCTGTCATAGGTTGCCCAGAGAAGCTGTGGCTGCCCCATCCCTGGCAGTGAACAAGGCCGGGCTGGATGGAGCTCTGAGCAATCTGGGATAGTGGACGGTGTCCCTGCCCATGGCAGAGGGCTGGAGAACAGGACATTTGAGGTCCCTTCCAGCACAGGCCATTTGTGTTTCTGTGATGTGTACTTCTGTGTAATTTTCCAAAACTAACCTCAAAACAACCCGACCAAATGGGAGTGGGGCTGAGATGCTGCTTTTCATGCTTTTTCTTCCATGAGGCTCCCCTAAAGTGCCTCAACCCACTTCCAGGTACGGCATGAATCTTAGGACAAGCTGTGCTGGTTTTTTGGTTTTTTTAATCTCCTCTGGCTTTCCTGGATCAGCTGCAGGGCATTCAGAGCTGCCCCCGAGATGTCTTTTTCCAGCATTAAAAAGTGTTGTTCCAGTACATCCAAGTTCTTTGGGTTCAGGATGAAAGCTCTTAAGGAGAGCAGCCTTTCTTCTTTCTGCTTTCTTTCTTCTTCCTTCCCAGTTTGGAGGTGCCCAGTGACCATGTGCCCTAGACTTTAAGTACTACCTGGCCATGTGCAACTTTGTGGAGCAGCTTTAAAATTCAAATATATTTGATCCTCTGGACTGGGGTTAGGGGTTTGGTCCATTTGCTGTCTCATTTTATCCTACCTTTTTTTTTTTTTTTTCCTAGAATTTTTTGAGTCTGAAATTGTCACAAAGTTGTGACAAGTCCAGCTTTGGGAGCTGCCTGATCCTTCTCTCTCCTTCCCCTTTTCCTCTACCCTCCCCCAGCCTGGGCCCAGGTCTGCCAGAGGAACATGTTCCTTATTTGTGGAGAAGCGCAGCTGGGTGAGCTGCCCAGAGCATGCAGTGCTCTTTGCTATGATTCACTCTTTGTTTTGCCAACATGTTGTTATTTTTTAGAGAGTGGGTAGCACATCCTCCTGCTATCTTTATAATAATAGTAATTTTATAAGGCAACTTTTAATAGGGTTTTGTATAGCTAAAGAACAGTGCCTTTCCTATGAATTCTGGAGTGCCTAAGAATTTGGAGATGGAGAGTGGGAAAGAGGAATATATATATACATATCTTTAATTTTCTTTTTGAAGTGAGTAATGATTTGACCTGCTCTGTTTCAGTACATGTTACCATGGCGATGACTGCAGGGACTACAACATCCTTTCCCATGAGTAACCACACCCGGGAGAGAGTCACGGTGGCCAAACTCACGCTGGAGAACTTCTACAGCAACCTAATTATACAGCATGAGGAGAGGGAAACCAGGTACTGCCTCTGCTTCCTCTCACCCCTCTGCAGCTTTTCTTGCTGTTTGTTCAAGGGCACTTCAATCCCTAGGGATGGGACAGCTCTGGGAAGTTTTTCTGTATGTGGTGGCAGGGAATGAATTCCTAGAGGGCGCAGGCTGTCTTTGTGGGGACCTGTGAACAACCCAGTCACTGAGTGATCAAGGAGCTCCACTTCTGATGTTTTCATGCAGTTTACCTCCTCATCAGTTATTCTGTGCTCTGTACAGGGGATTATTTTGCAGTTCATGTGAGGTTTCTTCTTCTGTGTGAGGTTGGTGACCTCTGATTCCCTTGCATCCGCAGGGAATGAACTCTGCAGAGCTGCTGAGGGGTGGGAGCTTGGTTTGGGGTAAGGCAGTGGCTTGCAGTGTCTGTTCCTGCTCTGCACCAAGGAGCTCATGCCAAGATTCTTAAACCCTGCAGGAGGGAGTATATAGGAGATAGGGAATAGGACTGAGAGGTGTTTGATGGGGTGATGGGGTAAGGAAAGAAGGCAAAGAGCTGGCATGGAAATAAGGGGCAGCAAAGAAATAAGGGGTTGATGATGGAGGGTTTGAGGGGCTCTCAGGTGGGCAGGGAGACTTTTGGGGATAATGTAATCCCCATTAGTAAATTCTTCTTGGGTGGTGCTGCCTGCTATTCCTTGCATGGGAGTATGGGATGGTCATCACCACTCAGCTTCTTCCAGCAGTGCCCAGTCGTGTCTCTCAGGTGGTCAAGTGCCACTTGAATTAGGTGTCAAAGCACCAGGTGTTTGATCATAATGAATGTTGAGTTGGATTGTCATTAGTGTGTGAAATTATCATTCCCCTGGTAATACATTTTTAATTGAAGGGTTTTCAGTCAAGCAGCAGGGTTTCTCTCTTCATCATATTTAGTCATTATTCCATGTAATGGAGTTGCTTTTAGTTAGGAGAATAGACTGTCTAGCAAGGGCCTGTAATTTAGAAGATCCTGCTGTATTTCCCAACGTGCAGAAAGGCACCAGCAGCCTCGCTCCAAGTCTTCAAATCCTTGCCTGCTGCAGGGGGTAACCAGCCTTCAGAAAGCTGCACCGTGGCAGCTGTAAAGGAGCATCATGTGTGTGGACAGAAAGGGGTCCTGCAGCTACATTGCCTTGTGCTGAACCCCTGCCACCTGTGGGGTATTCCCAGGCTTTGCTCCCCACTCAGAGCCTCCCAGTCTGGCATGGCATGGTGGAAGAGTTAGAGCCTTGGCCTGGGCAGGACACTGGGAGGGAGAGGATGGTGCATTCAGAGGGTAGAGTTTAGTTGGCATGGGAGGAAGGTGGGGGTGGAACCAGGTGTGTGACCAGGGGAAGGTGGTTACACAGAGGGGATGGAATCTAGAGCTGACTGGTGTGTGGAAGATGGAGCTGAGATAGAAACGGTGAAAAAACCCATTTTTGTTAGGTTTGTAATCCTAATTGATAAGAACAGCCTCAATTCAACAAGATATAATCACTCTAATGGCGCACTTTGTCATATATGTTTAATCCTTGATTCTGTGAAGCAAGATAAGCATATGCTTAAATTTGCTTTTACATTTTCCTCAGCTTTGTTCACAAATGAGTAACTGGGTGGAGTGGGGCTGTCTGCCTTCAAATTTCCATTTGAGGAAAATTCTCCAGTACTTGGAGTATGTGAAGCAAAGGTGTTGACTTGCTGTTGTGTTATGTTTGGTTTTAATAAATAATAAAGGCTGCAATCCCATTTCTCTCCTTGGCAGGCAGAAGAAGCTGGAAGTGGCTATGGAAGAGGAAGGCCTTGCTGATGAGGAGGTAAATACTGCTTAAGTAACCTTACAAGCTGCTTTGCTTTTGTCCCACTGCTTCAAATGGGCATTTGAAGAGCTCACAGAAACATCAGACAGCATGACAGATTTTATTTTGTACATGAATGTTGCCCCTGTTTATAATCTGTTTATTAGGGAAGCTGGGAATATGCTTGACTGATACTTGCAATAGCTATCCAAGGCTTTTCATTCTGCCCTGTAGTTCTTATGAGATATGGCCACAGCAAGTATCTAGCAAGCTTTTCAAGGATTAAAATTGTTTGCTTTTGTATTTGGCATGAAAAAAAAGTGGCCTGTGGGTAGAAAGCAAAATGCTGAACGATTTTTTTCTTGATTTAAACAATAAACCATCACACCTTTGTTCCTTTTGGATACAGCTGAGAAGGGATCTCAGTCTGATTGCCACCTCAGAACTTTGGTCAAAAGTTGCTTTTCTGAGGTCCATTACACCATGTCTGCCTTCAGGACAGGCTGGGAAATAAATAGGAAGAGTGTCTCAGTCCTTTTGGAGTTTTTGTGGCTGCTGTAACTCCTGAGAAGTGGGAAAATGAGTGTGGGTGTGTATTGCCATCTTGTGGCTTTAAAGGATGCTGTAATCCCAGCACGGAGTCTGGCAAGTACCTGTTCCAGGGACCTCCTTGCAGTCTCTGAGATCTCAGCATCTTTGGGAGCAGCATTTATCTTCTCTCGGAGTGAATACCAGTGACATTTTTGTCAGACAAAATAGATGATGGAATTTTGACAGATTTTTCTTGCAGAATTGAGTGCTTGCCTGCCATAAACCAAATGGATTTTGTTGTAGATCTGTAACCAGGCCTCTGCTGCTTGGTAAGCTCCTTGCTGCCTCTCATCACTCTTTTTGGTGCAGTTCAAGTTTCAGCTTTTATTGATCCTTCACACTGCCCAAAATGAAGAGTCTTTGCCTCAGGCAGTGACTTTGGCCTTGGGACTGATACACTTTGTTTGGACTAGTATGATAGCTTTTCTTTTCTTTTCTTTTCTTTTCTTTTCTTTTCTTTTCTTTTTTTTTTAATAATTGAGTAATAAAAATAAAATACCACCACCCACCAAAAAAAGGTGAAACTGTGCCTGAGGCTTCTGTAGAAAAGACCATACTTGAGGGTCATACTTTGAGAAATTCAGAAAGAAATGTAGACGGAGAAGTGTCTCTCCTGTTGGGATTCCAGAGAACTTCCCAGGAAGGGAAGGTGCATATCTTGACTCTCTACTGCCAAATGACTGACAGATTCCTGTGCCTGTGTCCTCAGAAAAAGCTGCGCAGGTCACAGCATGCTCGCAAGGAAACGGAGTTCCTACGGCTCAAGAGGACCAGGCTCGGCTTGGATGACTTTGAGTCTTTGAAAGTCATAGGAAGAGGAGCCTTTGGGGAGGTTTGTGGCATTCTTGATTGAACAGGAGATTAAAAGGGAATTGACCACTGTAATGAAGCATTCTAATTACAATTTAATGAATGGTTTTACTGCAGAACGGCAGCTATTTTTGCAATTCTCCAGGTGTGATAAGTCTAGTGATTAATCACATGCATTGATGTCCCAAGCCTTCTGGAAAGACACTTTGTTTCCCATGGCTTCCCATGCTGATATTGCCCACATGGCCCTCTAAAATTATGGATTTGCAGTGGCACAGCTCCTCTTGATAAGCCTCCCTTCTGCCCTGTGTCACATCACTTATTCCTCCTCCTGGATTTTAACCTACACAGTCCAAGCTGCCTGGAATTCACTGTGCCTGCTGCCTTTTCCTAAAACAAAAACAGTTCCTCACTAGTGTTACTGTTGTACATGGTGCAGAATAATTCCTTTTTCAATATTTAACATACTTAAATGTATTTTTAAATATTTAACAAGAGAACTTTTCCATGCCTGGCAACTGGGAGCTTTCCAGTGGATTTCTGAGGAAGAGAAGTCTGACTGGGTTCTCTCTCTTGGTAAAGGTCCGCCTCGTTCAGAAGAAGGATACAGGTCACATTTATGCAATGAAGATACTGAGAAAAGCTGATATGCTGGAGAAAGAGCAGGTTTGTGATCTATAAGTCCCCTAAATTTCAAGATCATCCTGTCTATAAAACGTTTTCCTCCTTTGAAAGCCCCTGCAATGGTCTGTCAGTCCAAAGGGTCTGTGGTGTTGCTACCACAGCACCTAAAGCAGCAGAAGTTAGGAAATAAGTTCATGTAACTGCATTTAAAAAATACTTCATTTACAGCCAATTTGGAATAGTGAAAAAGATTTTATTTTTTTCCCCATATCAACACGGATCTTATAGTACTGAATCTGTAAAACTGCATTTAAAGGAAAATACTTCCGGAAAAATAATCCTGTGCCAGAGTAAAAACTGAGGTATTTGATGTTTTCCTTTAAAGAAAACAAGCGGAAATCACATGGTTCATCAGCTTTGTCTTCCCTGGGTTTGCTTTATAGTTGGATCTCATCTTGTTGGGGTTTTTTTTGCTTTGATTTTGTTTGTTTGTTTTGGTTTTTGCTTTTACTTTTTAGCTAACAATTCACTGTGAGGACTCAGCGAGTACTTTAGCACCGCAGAGCAAAGAAATCCAGGGTGGGTGTCACAAGATACAAGGACTTTTTTCTTACTAGTCCAAACCTTACCCATCATTTGCACAGCATTTCCTTGCAGTAGTGGTACTTTTTTCTTTTTTTCTGGCACAGATTATTTTGTCTTCTGCAGCCCATGCCCTGAATTTAGGGAACCAGAGGAGCAGCAGGATGTGCAGAGCAGCCAGGTTTTGTGTGGTGCTGCCCCCATTTCAGAACCTGATGTGGGAAGGAGTCTGAGCTCACGCTCTACATTCAGTTTGGGACAGTGATCTTCCCTGGAGAATGTTTTATCTGCTGGAATTTTTTTTGGCTTGTTCTGTAGAGAGCAACAAAGGGCGCACATAAAAAAAGAAATAATCCAGTATTTTTTTTTGCCAAGCCTGGTAGTACTGGGAGAAGTCCTGGCTATTTTTAAGCAGAGTTTTCCTATCGCATTTTAGAGCTGCATTGAGGAGTGGAGGGTGGAAAGAAATACTTTCCCCAGTTCTACTGGTTCAATACTAAACTAAAGGGAACTGGGGAGCAAATGCAGAAGGCTGTTTGCTGCTTTTCTTACTAGAAATATTTTTCCATGCATATGTCTTCAATTTTTCCTCCAGGATGAGGGTGCATTTTAGTGGAAACACATACCTCTCCTCCAATCTCCATTATTCTTTATTTCCAGCAAATTATGGGTAGCAGCTTTCCATATATTTTCCAAAGATGTAGCTGGAATTGGAATATCCTGAGCAAGGTCAGATATTCCTGAACTTACTTGCACTTTTCCCACTAGCTTTGTTAGTTGTTTCTAACAAACGGAACCAGCTTAAAAAGCTGTGCTGTGTTTCTAGAGAAACCCTAGGATCTAGGACCTAGGATCTTGTAAAAAATAATGGAAAATATGGGTATGGAAAGAGCTAGAAAAATAACCCTTTGCTAAAGGTCATGAATATATGCTGTAGGGCTAGGAGTGTAATGTGATGTTTCTTGTTGAAGTATTTCAATATAATAATAATAATAACTTTTTCAAAATTTTAGGTGGCGCATATCAGAGCAGAAAGAGATATTTTGGTTGAAGCGGATGGAGCCTGGGTAGTGAAAATGTTTTACAGCTTCCAGGATAAAAGAAACCTTTACCTGATCATGGAATTTTTACCTGGAGGTAAGTTGGGTGCTGTGCATCAGGTGATACAGGTACTTTTTCCTTAGCTTTTGTTGTCAGCTTTATAAAATATTAGAAACAAAAGTGCTGTATAATTTGTGAAGATAAAAATGTTAACATTCTTTTAAATTAAGTTCCACTCATGTGACCATTCCTGATTTTTAGGGAAAGGAAAGAAGGTTAAAGGGGTATTAAATAGACTTGAATTAAACAATTATTCTAATAGAAATTTCTGCTTTTCGTGACTGAAGCTGTTAACAGAAAAATAAAACAGCAGAAAAGCCCTTGTTCAAACAGTCTGTGCAATAAATTTAATGTGTGTAAAAATCAACTCTTTTTTCCCAGGCTGTTCAATTAAAATTCCTGTTTAGGAATTTCAGCCATAAAAGTAAGTTGGATTTGTAGGTCCTTGCAGTAATAGTTTTATAATTAGTAACTATACGGGCAGTTACAAGGTTAAGTTTGGATTCTACTGGGGTTTCTTACAGTTTTGTGATTGAAAATGTTCTGATCCCTAAGCTGTATTTTCTTCTTTTTGATGAGGTGACATGATGACCTTACTAATGAAGAAGGACACTTTATCAGAGGAGGAGACCCAGTTTTACATTTCTGAGACGGTGTTGGCCATTGATGCCATTCACCAGCTGGGATTTATCCACAGGGACATCAAGCCAGACAATCTCCTGCTGGATGCCAAGGCATGTACTGGGCTCAACAGCTACTGGTGTTTCCAAGGTCCCAGGCTACACATCCTGCTGCTGAGCAGTGGGAGCCACTGTACCACCCCAGAGATTTAAACTGTCTGGAGGGAAGGCAGGGAATAGCCACTGTCTTTTCCTTGGAGAACACCAGTCTATTTAAACAAAGCTAAATCTTACTCAGATGCCTTTTAACCATTTTAAGGCAAGGCTTTTAAGGGAGAAAACCCAAGCAGGGTGACCAGATGCTGATATTCATACACAATAAAAGGTGGTACCCTTCCTTTCATGCATCTTGAAGCAGCTATGGACAATTCAGACAATGCTAAATGTTCAATTCCTACAGTTACATTTATTTCATCACCCTGATGAAATAAATTCACCACTCACCTGTGGAAACTCCCTCAGTTAGACTGACCATTCTGACCATGAAATGCACCCAGTAAGCATCACCAAATCATGGAATTATCTAGATTGGAGAAGATCTTTAAGAACATGGAGGCCAGGCATTATCACAGCTTGCACAGGTCTTTCAGGTTTGATGGGTTCTATCTGCACTGATGTCTGGAAGCCAAGGTTACCATCAAAACAGAGGAATTTTGTCCTGGAGGCTTTCTCAGTCACAGTGCTATCCAGTTCAAAACAAAACCAGGGAAAGGAGCTGCCCTCAACTGTTGGGAAATTGTAGATACAGCCATTCTGAGGGGGCCACAGCCTTTTATAAAGAAAACAGACCCTTCCAGTACACCAAGGTTCAGTCTTTGCTTGCCTTCTTGTCCTGTGCCAGTCCATCAAGGCCTGAGACGGCATGTGCAGTGATTAAAACTTTTTTTTTTTTTTTTCC